CTTTATACGCATACATGATGATCTCTTCAAAGTCTACGGAGGCTCACGGATTTCGATTAGTTTTATATATTATTATTATTTATACAATTTTATCATCATTATACTGGTGCAATACGCACACATATAAATTATTTTTTTAAACTCTTATATCTGTCTTACAGTCTAAAATGATGTATGTTTCCTTTTTAGGACACGACTGGAACAGTTGTGGAAGAGATTGACGGCCGATTATGTGTACTTGCCCACAGACAGCATTCACCTCTTCAAAATCATTAACGTCAAAATTATTCAGAACATGTGGTAAGTAAATATATAAAAAATAAAATACATTTAAGATACACATTGACACGCGTATATTATATTTATATTTTTTTTCAATAAAAAAAAAAAAAAAATAAAAAAATGCCCAACTTATCACATAAAATAATTATTATGAAACGCATTTTTATTTCCGAACTCAAAACGTTGTCATAGATTATTGATAAATTGATAATGCAACAACCCTAATATCTTTATAATATAAATGAAAAATGATTATTATTTTTTTTTCTTTAACAAGCAATGTCTTAGAAACTACKTAGAACTTGCATTTTATCTTTTTTCCTAAGGTTTTTTTCAATTTATTCGTAAAAGTTGAAGAAAATCCAAATATATTGCCCGCTGGTTGATGGAAAATATGAATCGCTCACCATATAATTAATCTAAAATTCACTACACAGAATCCATGTAACCGCCATCAAAATTATCGACGCGTCAAAGCGAGTATAACAACAAAGGACATAATATCACCGCTGAATGAACTTATGGTTATAGTAGAACGATGCTTAAAAGACCGATGACGACGATGGCGACGAAATAATAATAATAATAATTATTATTATTGTCATAACAATACTAATAGCCCGATAGCCGTCGGAGATTTTCTTTGTTGACTACTACTGAATACGCTTTTGGGTCCAGGGAGGTTTCGAATTTAATATTGCATATTGTTTCCCGATGAGATCCTGACCAAAGTTGTTGACGTTGCTACGCCGTGGATTCTGATGCTGCACAGCTGTGTATGCCGTTAACTTATTAAACAACCGAGATCACCGAATCTTATTGACGTTGTTTTCACAAACCGTCTAATTTAATTTAATGTTTCCCGTCCCCACTGATAATACCATTCGATTAACAGACACGATAAAYGGGGGGAGGKGGTTTACAAAATGTGATCCCGTACAACATTTTATTTAATGCAAATTCACTAAACAAATAGTTTTACCGTATATGGAATGATATATTTTTTATAATAATATAATAATATAATAATATAATATATATTTTATATTATTGTCAGTTAACAATAATAATTGTTGTTTTCAACACAGCAGTTACAATACTATAATTTAAAACCATATTAAATTTTATTGATTTTAAATTTTGAATTAAGGTGGAAGTTGCAAGTTAAAAAAAAAGTTGGAAAGTGGATATCGCTCTGCTGTATAGTAGGTTACAAGTGGGTTACTGTAATGGATGGAATTAAATTTGAATCCAATAATATTATATCATTGTATACGAAAAACAATTCTGAGCGGAGACAGTTTATCTGTCTAGGACATAATATTATAGATTATCATTACTTATTATTAATACTTATTAAAATATTTGACATTTTTTATTATTTATTTATTCATTTATTTTTTATTTTTTTGATAAAGGTAGAAAAACTTATAAGGTATCTTGAATTAAATTTTCAAATCTTAGATTTAAAAAGAACATTTTTTATGAATTTCTATGTAAGAAAATTTGAACATTGCCGTAATGTTCTAGTATTTAATAACATTTTGAACTTTAAATGCTTAGAATATTAAAATACTTAAGTCTTAGGTGCATAAAAAAAACCAAAATCAATAATAATTTAATAATATAAAAGGAAACCCAAGAATAGTTTTGTAATTTAATAACTTAAGAATGTATAAATCTCAGTATTAGTAGTATTGCAATAATAATCACTAAGTTAATTGATTTTTCTCCTTAATATAATTAATATATATTATAGTCAACAAATAGGTATCATAAAAATCAGATTTTATTTGTTGTGGTGTTTGGTTCATTAATGTTATTTATTTAATTAAACTAACTAATACTATAACAATATTTTTTATTGGACATAATAAATTCGATGAAAAAATATCATGTAAAAACTCATTATATATATTATAAAGAATAAACTTTTATTTTAATGAATATTTATGTAATATGTATTCGTCGAATTTTTAAAAATGTTCTATAGTTTAATAAACACTTAATGAGAATTATTTTAGATGTTTATTTAACGTAAGATAACAACTTACTATTATCTATAGATATTTCTAAGTCAAATCAAAAAAAAGTTTTCAGTTAAGTAATTACGAAAGTGTCTTCCATAATCCATATTATTTTCCGATTAACGTATCAAATCGTTTTTCGAACCAAATACCAACAATAACATATTTGTTATTTTTAGTATGTTTGCATAAAATAAATAAAGATCGTTCATCATCAGCAGTCTGAAAATAAACATAGTTAAATCGTTTAAATTATAGTGCTCATGATCGTTATTTTACTAGTGAAAAATATTTTGTTTTAATAGAAATGAAAATACATTTTTCGTGATTAATTCATGAAAAAAAAAAACAYATAACTCTGCATAGATAAATTGTTTCAAAATTTATTCGCATAATAATTCTTTAAGTAATAAATCGTATAAAAGCATTAAAAAAGCTATTGAGATTTTTTAGAATATTTAATTTTTAATTTTTTCCAAAAATTTGAGAATGAATTAAACATATTATGTTACTGAAGTCAAAAATCGAAGCACTTTTACTGCCCCAAAACGTGATGACAGACACAAAAAAAAAAATACAAAAAAAAACACACATCATTTTAAAATCAATACATTTCTAGCTCCGTTCAGAATCTAAAAAACGAATGTGATAATAACGATATAGGATAGGCCGAAAATCAAAAATGGTCGAAATAAACGGCATTATTCTGTCTTTTTTCACCATCGAATCGACGTATAGTATTATAGACGCCTAGCTCAATTTAATTTCCACTCTTTTAAATGAATCATTGAATGCACCTAATATTCGTCCATTTTCTTCCATCCTAACCTTAATACACCAATTGTTCAACGTCTCAGTTCATTCAGCTTCCAACAGATAACATCATTTTGCTCACATAATACATGGCCATTTAAATAGTTAATATCTGCTGCTTTGGCCAATAACTTATAAGTTTATATTTAGTTTCGTTTATCTTTAAAAAAAAATAAAAATATTATGATTTATTTAATTCTTACCTTTGGTTGTATTTATATTGTGTAAAAAATATATTTATGTTAAATACATAAACAAACTTCCATTTATTATAAACAAAATAATATAATATACTCAACATATTATATTTATGCATCACGTATTATTATGTCAATGTTGCAATAACAATATGCAATCAATAAAGTTTAAACACGATCAGTTTGTTTTTTGTGGTGATGAGTTGAATAAACTACTAATATCAGAATTTATTATAGTTGATAAATAAATATATAGGCACTAGAAAAATTAATAATATTTTGTTGCCATTTAATACTTGCGTCCTGAATTTAAAATATCAAGTAAATTACATTTGATTAGTTGTCACACAATGTAGACATAAAGTATTTATATAGTAAATATGGAATCAATMTGCATCTTAATTTAATAACTCGAATAAATTATAAAATTTAATGTTAATAACAATATTAATTTAATAATTACATTTTATATTTTTATGATCATATATGTTTATATAAAAAACATATACATTATATTAATATTTCTTTTAAAAATAGAACTACTAGAAAATTACCAGTAATTATAGCTACGGCTTATAGTCCTACGGAGTGAGCAGATTTGATCTGATGGTTTGTCTTAATCAAAGTCATCTTCAAAGTCTTTTTTACATGGGATCGAATTTAAGCCATATATGGTGTGCATAATCAATCATAATTCTCTATATTTATTGTTATTATTACTGCMTGATATAATATATATTATATTAACTACCTCCATAATATGCTTGGAACACTCAAAACTTAAGCGAATACACGCCTTCATTTCGGACCACATATATTATGAATTCATTAAGTATATTTTATTCAAAGAACATGACGTTTCTAATGGCTTTAAAACCAAAACTTTGTCGTTTGTACTTAGCTCTCCGCATATCCAAAGCCTAATTAATCCACTGCAGAACACGAAGGGGAGGTTTATTATTAKTGAGATCGAGGGTTCAGGAGTTCCTTACGTGTGTTCAAAACCTGTATTTTATGAAAATAGGCAATGATAATTTATATGCAGTAAGTTCTGTAATTTTTAGCTATCCGATCAACAAATAGCCTAACTTAACCTGTAATTCATTTTAACGTTTAGACCAACCGTTTGTCGTCTGTAGTTTTGTCACTGGTAAACGGTACGATTGTTTAATATTTATAAACAAATGATTATGACTATAATAGCTTGAATGTTGCTGCAATTACATGTTTTTGTTTTGGCTTATTAGATTTATAGTTATGTGAGCTATACATTGAGAAAACGACTTTTCAAATTAAATATTAAAAATTTTTAATGTTTTCATTGTCAGCTGAAATGATTATGTTTTATAAAAAAGCTTTATCATTTTTAATCGACCACAATCACAGTATAGGTACAAAAATGTAATGAAAAACTAAAAACAGATGATATAGAAAGTATAACACATCGTGTAATTATCTTATACAATATAATAAGTGTATCCACCCAAATTAAAAAGGGTAATTTACAATTATACATTTTTTATATAATAAATTAATGATGTTTGTTTTTAAGTATTATTTGTGCATCCACATTTAAAAAATTATTTTCAGCATTCAATTGTATGCACTATAATCATAAAGTACAGATGAAGTTAAATATAAAATAGATACTATATTAACCTTAATTTATTATGTTTTATAATTTTTATGCTTAGGTTATGATTTATGAATATGTAGAACTTACAATTGAATCAGTTTAAACCAGCATGGTATAGGAGATTTGTTTCATAATCTATATTATATTATTTTATTTGTTAAACATGCCRTATATAGTCAGATAACATATTTAATAATATTTATATGATATTTGATAATAATWATTATAATGATATATTATGCGAACGTTAAATATTTTTGACACCGATAAAATACTAACATAATTTTTTTCACTAATCATAATATTATTTATGTGTATATCTATCAATTTCATATAGTTATTTGC